CCTGTTTCTTACTTGTAATAATTTCCCCAAAATTTCTGTGAAATAAAATGATGCATTGATCATGAGACCCGACAGAGCCATACCTGGATTCTGAGAAATCTTAGTGCAGGGGACGGGTGGCATTGCATTTTAGCATGTAGCCTAGTACTACAAAGTGACAGCTCTTTAATGTATGCTTACTCATTGCTTAGCTGAAGGGCCAACTCAAAAATCCTTTGATTTAGTCTTTGCTAATTTTATCCAAAGGATGTCATACATTTCATATGGAATCCTCAAATGTAGAATATTCAAGTCCCCCTACTGCATCCTATGTAAGGCACACTAGATATCCCCATTCTATTGAATTTCAAATCCTTTCCCTTACCCCATGGGCTCTGCAAATTCCCCGTGTAAAAGTATAATTGATAATAAGCTGTTTCTCAGAATGTGTTCCACCCTCCTTCACTAAGCCTGAGTTTCAGTTCAATGTTCTGTATTTCAATCACCCTTTGCATTTTCTTCAGCATCATCCCTTTACATTGCTTTTAGGACATTTATCTTTTTTGCATTGTGATATATTTCTAAATGCCCACCTTCTTCAACAACTCAATAAATACTAACCATTGAAATGTTTTTAAATTAACTTTCAATCTTAAGTACATTTTAAAAACCATAGTAAAATATAGACTCTTGAAAGCAATGGACCATTTCCCCCAAATACATTCAAATTCGAGAACACTAAATAGGCCTCTACAACTTTAGGGATTTCAGGAACTTCCTGAGAACTTGCATGATATTCTTACAGGACAAGTCAAATCAAGTTGCTATACTACAGCATGATGGTCTCAGAGACAACTCAATTCACACATATCTTCTGCAGAGCTCTTCAACACCATTGGTTCAAGGTCCCCCCAGGGCCTAACAACTCCAAAATCTAGGTCTCCACTTTGATTTTGAATTCCAAAGTTGCTCTTTCAATGCCCACAGGACATCTCTAAGTGGCTACCCAAAAGACACTTCCAATTCAAGAGATCCTAATCAAACTCTCTGAGCAAATACTGATGGTTACCATTTCAATGTGCTCCTGAGGCATTCAGCTGACAGGATTTTCTCTCTGTACTGGAGAAAGACTTTCTGCCTCTGCTGGGTGGCAGGTGAGAATTGCCAGAAACCCAGCACCTCCTGGGAAGTCCTCAGCTACCTTCCACATCCTCAACTGTAGTCCTTAACAGAAGAACTTTGTTTCAGTATCTGCTTCTGGTGAACCAATGACATGCATCATCTCAACCTCCAAATCTGTTTCTCTTCTTAGGGACTCATGTCTAGTGATCACACCCACACACCCCCATCACCGAGTCATCCATCCCAACTCCTGTTTCTTCCATCATTAAGCACCACTGATTCTATATCCCCAGTGCAACTTGACTAAAGTTCTACCCTTCATCCCTTCTAATACCACTCTGATTTAAGCCCTCATAATTGCAACAACCTCTCTTACTTAGTCTCCTCACTGTCAAGCTCACCTCCTCCTTTTCAGCCCTCCACACTGAGAGTTATCATTCCTCACTCCAAATCTTCCCTTGTCACTCTATTGTTTAACATCCTTTACAGTTCCTATTGACTACAAGAAAAAGCTCCACTAAAGGACAGACCAGCACCCTCAAGTGACTTCTAGCTGTCCTCCCCCAGCTGTTCCCTACAACCTCTACTCCTAACTCACAAAGTATATGTAGCTTATAGAAAATGCTCTGCATCCAAGGTTTAATACGTTCTGTCCCCTTCACTAATAATGCCCTTCCCTTATGTTGGAAAACTCCTATTTGTCTCTTAGCACTAAGTAAGTGTCACCAACTCTGGATAACCTTTCCTGACTTCTCTGCCCATACTATTATGCATTTGCCCATTAAAAGCATGGGCCCACTCCTTAGGTGTTCACCTAGCCCATTTCATAACTCGTGTACCATGGAGCATTGCCGTGTGTTATTAACAGTTTGTTTATTCATCTGTGAGCAAACTGGAGTCAGAACTATATATTAACCATATTTCTAACCAAATTCTTTAGCTCAGTGATTTAAATAGCCAGTAGGTGCTGAACAGATGTTTATTGAAGAAAGGAATGAGTCACCTATCTGGTAAGCATGTGAAAGCTAGATGAGACACTGAGTCACAGAAACGGAATATAAACAAAAACATTGTACCTGATATGGGACATTCCTTGGATCCTCATTTAAAGCCACCAATAATAGAATTTGAGATCTCAAAAATCACCCTAACTCACTTTGGAACACTTCTGTTGTTTCTTCCTGCTATTTGGGGATCTCCTTCCTTTCTTCCATTTTGAGCCATCTCTTTAAATGAATGAATATATTTCTTCCAGATTACTATTCTATTTCATCCCAAAGCACCTTCTGTCCTCGCCTCCTTCCCAAATCCACACTTGTCCTTTATGGCCTCCTCTTTTTATTCTTTGCTCTATAAGGGCAGCCACAATGGAAATGCAGTAGTGTGCCAGTACATATTGCTTTGGGAATAGGACCCATGATGCCTGTTTATTATGCCTTAATCTGAATCAATGTGATATTTTCTGAAAACATAAGTACCTCAAAGGGCAGCCAAAATGAATCACAACTGCCAGAAAGGATCAAACATTAACCCAAGGTTGTGATGAGGCCAACAAAAGAAATAGGCTAGTAATTGCCTTCCAGGATATCAATCCCTACCTCAGACACACAAACCCTCTCAACACACACAAAACCTTTATGGATTTTTCATCCATGAACTTGTCTAATTATAATTGCCCAGCAGTGTCTTTAGTTGTACTCAGGGTTAGTCCTGGCAACTGAGACTTTACTTAACTGATTTAAGAAGTCTAAACAGTTACAAGACCCATAAAGTCTTTGGCTACTTCAATAATTGAATAATTTCCACAGGTTATCATTCCTTATTTGAGACTGATTTCAAACCCCTAAGGCCTGACTGGAGCAAGCAAGAACTAGTACTTACTGTTGATATTCATTGTTATCAATTCTCATACATGCATTGTGGATCTCTGTCCCTGTGTTGATGGGCTTCTTTGTAATGTAACTCTTCCATTTCAAAAGAAGAAATTTTCTATTGAGGATTGGTACTACCAGGGCTGAATTCTACCCCACAGAAAGCACACATGCCTAGGGGCCCACAGCAGTTTTAGGACTCATAGGAATCTCTTAATTTCTTTTAAAATCAGAAGGAAAAATGATTATTGAAGTTGAAAAACATCTTTTAACATATAATAATATATATCTGTCTTTACACTAATGTAAAATGCAACTTTTCTTATCTTTCCATGGAGGGAAGAGTACACAAAGGCAAAAGTGCCCACAGGTCATATATTGGTTCCAGTTACTACCACATACAGCTTGAATCACATCATGGTTACATTAGACACTTGCAAATATAAATTTGGGTATCCATACTAGTTATAAACTGTATAGGCAGCTACAAAGAGAGATAAAAAAGTTCGGTGATTTTTTTACACATCTTATATATTTATATATAATTATGTTTCTGATTATTTCTTCTCATTTTCTTTTCTCTTTTATGGAAAAAAGGTGAAACACAATTTTATAACAAAATAATAGGTGAATAATAACAGCAAATGCATTACACATTGTCATCTTTAAAATAGATGTTCAGGGCACAACTATTACAGTAAAAGATATGTTGTTCTTCACTTCCCTTCAAGTTACTTCCCCTCATGTTGAGTACACTTACCCCATCCTTCTTGTCATTTTGTGAGGCGGTTCTGGAAATTGACTTTTGTGAGTGTGGTCAAAAGTACAGCGAATGCTGCTGCTGCATGCCATCCAATGGCAAGGAAGCTTCATGAAAATATTACAGTGCATCATCATCCACTTTATTCCCCAAATCTGGCATCATGCAACTCCTGGCTCTTCCCCAAAGTCAAAATGACCATGAATGAAAGGTAAACATTTTGAATTGATGCAGCACAGAAAAGCAGAACAAAATGCTTGTGAAAGTGACAAGAAAGATGGGCTAAGTTTGTTTGAAGCAAAGACGGGTATTTCTAGGGTAATTAATGGCAATGTCTTTTTTGGCAGTAATTTTGTTTCCAAAAATTCAATATTCACTGTATTTTTTAATCACACCTCATAATTACTTCACACTCTTGTGGGCACTCCAAATTCTACAAAGAAGTTCTGATTAAATACACAGTGTTGAGACTTCAGGGGATCTGAGTATAGAAAGAAAAGCTAGAGTCCTACTGCTTTTTGTCCTGCATAAATGTAAGTCCTGTGCTACTACCATTTTCTAAAAAATCTTCATCCTCTTTTGATTAATACAAAACATATCTCTATCGTTTGGGTTTAGGTAAATCTCTGTAGCGCTTCCTGTGCTTTTTAAAATAGTTTAAGGATTTAGGTTTCAAATATTTTTATAATTTTATTGATACTTATAATTTATTTACTGGTCAGCAGTCACATATTCATCGTCTTTCCAGTTCATAGCCCAGTGTAGTCAAACACTAAGTGCTTAATAAATGCTAGATTAGTACACGAATCATCTCTTGAATAGAATTCAAATTCTTCCGGTGAAATAATTTTGTCTTTACTAAGCTCTCACAGTGTGAGAACAATCTTTGACCTGTATTACAATCGACATTTTGGGGGATCGCTGATTCCCGTCTCCATCTCCATCATCCAACCCCTGCCTCTCCTGGGCTCCGTTCGTTCTTTTCTCTTCATCCTGTAGTCTAGAATGATTCCAGGCTGTCAGGGAGGCAGTAGGGTCCCCACTCTTCAGACCGACTCAGGCTTGTGTCCCAAGCCACCCACCCAGTAGCCCCGGATCCCGTCCTCCTGCCATACCGTGCCGCCCACAGCCACGCCCTCCCCGTGGGCGCGATCACCTGTCCTTCCTCTGCTGCCTCCTCGTCGGGTACCCTTTCGCCCCCCTCCTGCTCCCCCTCCTCTGCCACCTCCCTCAATCCCTCCCCTTCCCCGCCTCCTCCCACCCCTTGGTGTATATAGTAAAGGCCGGGCGCCGCACGCAGACACACACTCACCCGGACACAGGCGCACAGACAGACGTTCACACACAACCGGCAGCGGCGGAGACAGCGGCTGGGTGACAGCGGAGACGGAGGCTCCCACAGCTGTGCACCCCCTTCAGGCGGCGAGCGCTAAGGCCAGACCGAAGAGTTCCCGCACCCACGACCACCCCGCGGCTTCCTGGAGGCGGCGGCTGGGATTGCGAGGTAGCGGCCGCGGCGCCCCCGTGCGGGCCGGGGTCACCCCC